TTCATCTTTAGACTCTTTGGAAAACATTCTATTCTTCGGTTTTGTCCCTCGTTCTCTTCTACATGTATACTTCTACTCACTCTGCGATGGAGCGAACTATTTTAAAGAAGGAGGCGTTGTACTCCGGTGACTGTATTGTCCATTGTGACTGTGGTGATGTATAATAGTTGAAGTGGCTCTGAGCTCAGCAACTTAAAAGAACTTTGCTCAAGGCCCCGGTGAGGTCAGGACCCTCTCTGAGAATATTGGGACAAATCCTAGTGGGCCTCTGGATTGCAGATGGACTGTCAAAAAAAAGAAGTCCTCAAAAAAGCTCTTCTCTGCGGACCTGTCATCTGGGTTGCATGTGAGAGAGCATGTTGCTTGTGAGGTCCAGGAGTGGGCTTGTGCCAAAAGTGGCCTGCGCTCATTTGCTGGACAGTGATTAATTAAGACAGTGACTCATCCTGTGCACAGCAACTACAGGACGCTCCAGGTTACGCAAAAGCAGCTGCACATCTGCAGGTCCTGACAGACGTGTAGGGAGACGTTATTGAACCTGAAAGCAGCCTGGGAAGCCTCGAAGCACATTCCTCACCTCTGGCACTGGGAAGGTGCAGGTGAAGCAACCTAAGCCTCATCATTAGACCCTTGTCTATACACATAACATACCTATTATTTTGTTATTTAGATTTACAGTCCCACAGATGTCCTTTAATCTGCTTTCCAAGACGATAACCTCAGAACGACTGCAGATACTTTTACATTCGACTCCTGCACTCACCCTCTGCTATGGGAGAGTCTGTGGAGGAGACTACACCCGTCACATGGGCCGCGACTTTAGGAAGAGCGACCCCGGGGCTCAGGATGGGCAGCGCTCCCGTCAGCTTATCTGCGAAAACACAAGCAGATAAGAAAAACTCACTGGACATTTTTAGTGGGAAAAGTCATACTTTAAGTCCATTAGAAGCAATTGACTGTCAATGGAGGCATTGTTCTTACTTCTCATAGTGGACGATATCTCTTTCTGGAATCTGTCCGCCATTGTCTGAAAGAAAAACACAAAGAGAAACAGAAAAAGAGACGAGGGGAGAAGGGAGGGAGAGAGAATGGGTCAGTCGGTTAATATATCTTGTCTTTTACCTTTATTCTGACATTTTTACGCATCTTTAAAATCTAAATTAGAAACAATCAGTAATTTATCCTGTCACCCTGAGAATCCAGTCACTCCCACTCACCCTGGCTCTACAAATTTCATGTGTTGACTTGTAATAACGGTTTTCCCCTTTTGGCTGAGTCAGCGTTAGATCATTTTCCAATTTTTGCCGGTGACGTCTGAGTGACTGCATGTGAAGTACGATAGGATCACTGATTACTGCAAAAAGAAACATTTGGCCTCTGGTGGGTTTTTTTTCCTCAAACACCAAATGAACCTTGCACCAGATCTGGGTTTCTTTTCTTTTCCACACAGAATTATGTAAATGAGACAAAGAGAATAAATCAAAACCTTCTCTATGTGGTAGTGGAGCTGTTGCGTGACTTGCCAGCAGGGGTTGCGTTTTCTGTCCTCGGCCGTCGACTCTTCGAACTCCGAGTGCAGGTTTGCGTTTATCAGACAGGAAACGCTGCTGCGGGAGAAACTCTCCTGCATCTGTTGAGAAGAATAGATGCAAAACAAATGATGTAAGGCTGAAACTAAATGATCGAATGGTCTGATCTGACAAGGACTTTCTTTAGCAACAGTTTTTTCTGTCAAATGTCAAAGTGAAAGTTGTCTCCTCATAAGTGAGGGAAAATAATTTGAGGTGAATATTTGCAGATATTTGGTTTGTTTCTTTGAAGATCACTGAGGAAAAATGATTTTAAAGATTATAATTGATTATCAAGTTAGCTGCAGATTAATAATAACTCACCTGTGACTTAATATTTGAACTCTCCAAAGCCAATAATAGTCCAAATGTATAAATATTAAATTGTACTTATGTACTTATTGTACTTATCTAACTTGTCATATTGTAAATATGTTAGTTATTTTTTTACATACTGTATATTTATGCTTATGCAGAAACATACCACAACCAATTACTTGTATGAGTAAACCCGGAGTCTGAGAAAAATCAAACTCTTTTTAATAGTATATTTTTATACATTTATTTAATCTGGGTCGATTTAATAACCAAAAAATATGCTTCCTCAAAGTAAAATAGTCCCTGGTTACTTTGCTAAATATCAATTATGCTATGTATATTCATCAATATGTGATCACAGTTCATATTTCCATTCTGCTGGACTTGTTCATGTTGACTTAAAAAGTGAAGCTCGGAATTTATTCTGCTTTTAGAAAAACAATATCTTTTCAACTTTTAACAATATATTCTGGACAAACATCCAAAAATCACATTTTAACATATTTGTAATCAGGATTCATTTGAGTTATGCTTCCTCAAAGTAAAACATTCCTTTGGTTAATTATAGGTTTAAGTGAAGGTGGTTATCTATTAATGTGTTGAAATGCACTTACAGTCACTCGCAGGTAAACAGCGGGTGTTTCCTGTTCCTCAGCCAATCAGAGCTCAGGAACAGGTCTATCAACTTTTATAAACATGTTTTATCAGTTTTTATTGATCAGGTCTGAAATGATAAATGTTGCTCGACGGTATCACGAACTCATTCATAACTAGTGTAATGTCCTGACATAGTTTAAACAACTTTCTCTTCTCCTGTCCAATGGAAAATTCCTGCACGATTTATGAAGGACACTTTCTTTTTTCTAAAATATTTCAAATGTATTTTTATATTGACGGCCCAAATAACAAAGAATGTATAGAAAATAAATAAATGATGTACCCAGCAGTATATAAAGTAAGTCAAATTGTACTTTAATGATACTTTAATAGTATTTTAAAGAGGATTTCCACTTCTGATGCCTCTGTTCCCTGCAGTCTTACATCTCTGTGGGAAAATAATACGTCTGTAACTACTCAAATGATGTTATAATGTTATTTCAAGGCAAATTTAATCATAAATTAACTTTTACTTGAGCTGCATATGTTTCTGTGCCAGTTCAGGATGTTATTTTAATGTTGTCCCGGTCCTGTATCCGTACAGAGTCGGTTGTAAAATTGTTTCAAAGGTCTTACATTCCTCTGAAGTTGATCTCAGATCACTGTGAAATTATGACAAAGAGAATATGTCATCATTTAAAATACATGTCCCCAGTTAGAAGTCAGTTAACTCACTGTGCTCAGGACTTTGTTGAAGTAGATGAAACTGATGGCCACGGCGATGGTCTGGATGAGGATGGCTGCAAGTATGATGAGCCCCAGACTCTGCAGGGAGATAGAGATGGCCATGTCACAGCGGCGTGAGAAAAGCACCCAAATAAAGTCCAGAAGAGAGAAGAGAGAGTGTGGAGAAAATGCTTCCAGCAGTCAGGACAAGTCAGATCAAGCTCTGCCGCATTTCTGCTCTGGAGGGGGAGAGAGAGGAGGAGGAGGAGGAGGCCGGAAAACAGAGCAGCAGTTTGTAGGTGGAGCAGAGAGGAGGTGTGGAGGATTACAACAGCCTCAAGATGTCACTGTTATTAGACAGAAATAAGCAGGCAGATTTAATGCAACCCCCGGGTGCCTTCAGGGGCCGTCGAAAATAAGGAAACTTCGAGGTGCTGCAGGCAAATGTATTTCATCTTTGCTTTGTTGATATTTAGCTGTAACCTGTTGCAAAGATGGTCCAGAGTTTGATTAAACTGTCAAGCAGATTCTTTTCTTGACAAATTAATTTCAATTCAAGGTTAATTTATTTGGCAGTTCTGGAGCTTTTGATCAACACACATGAGCTTCATTAGCAGGTAGAGATGCTCAGATTTCAATTATCTCAACTTCTTGTTCACTCAAAGCGTTGTTAATAATAATAACTTTATTATATAGCACATTTTAAAGCAGCTGTTACAAAGGGCTTCACAAAGAGGATGGATGAAAACAAGAATACAAATCATGAGACAACAAGGATGGATAAAATAAAATAAATCAAAAAATAAGTCAAAATCAAAAACAGCAGATAAACTAAAACAACATAATTTAAAAGTAATGACTAAGGAGAGGAATAAATGAGACACACGTAATAGCCAAAAAGAAAGAAAATCAAGTAATCTATTCCAGAGGAACGGGGCATCGACAACAAAGGTCCCGCGAGCTCTGGTCTTCTTTCAAGAACATCTTATCTTATCCTGATATTATTGATAAGTTGAACAAAATCAAATGTAAACGATATTGGAATGAAACTGATAATCGAAAGGCTGCAAAGCATATTTGACTTTATATGAAAAACATATGTTGAGTCTAAAATCCCAAAACATCTTATTAGCACGTGGTGACAGGACTTTGAAAAGGAACATAACAGAGACCGTTTTATTTTATGAGACCCTTTTAGTTACTGTGCTGCAGGTTAAAGGTGCAACTGTCTCTTTCTTTCTGCAGTTCAAAGTAGCTTTGGCGACATTTTAATCCTGATTTCCAAACATCAGCCAAAGTTTTGTTATGGGCTTTATTTCTTTATTACTTCCAGCCAGGAGCACTTCAAAAGCTTCACAAATGGTTTTCACGACTTCCAGTCTCCCGAATGACGAGCGAGTGAAGGCAGCATTAGATAACTGTTGGCTGAACGAGGCTTTTAAGAAGAGCACAGAGCCTCTGGAAACAATAAATCTCAGCAGTTTAACACCGATGAAGATATTTGAGCTTTTTCTTGGAATTAAATTCCATTTTCACTTTGTTCAGCTTCTCTATTTTAACAGTAAAACACCTGTAGATAACGTTAATATAATACATTTTATATCGCAGTTTTCAGCCTTATACATAAAGAGCTTTGCAAGTATGGATTAAAATGAAAGCTCTCTTGTAGAACATAAGTCTAACATGACAGCATATATATATATATATAGATATAGCTCCACCAAGCCCATACATAATCAAATGGATGCACAAGTATTATATTTTTATAAATAAAATAAACAAAAGACAATTGGGACCAAAATTATAGAAATGAGATCAAATGTGGCTGTAACTAAACATGCTCCATTAAGTTAGGTGGAATGAAAATAAAGGAAATGACAATATATAGTGCAATTATTTATTATATACTGTGTATAAAATGAAAAGCACAATTGAATACTGTGTATTTGTATATATGTTTGCAGATAGGAGTACCTTCAAAAAAAGATGTCACATTGTCATTTAACCAAAAGCACTTAAGTGTGTAATGATTCACACGAGCGGAGGACACTATAGCTGTGGCGCAGGAGGTAGAGAGAGTTATCCACCATCCAAAATGTCAGTGGTTCAATCCCTGTGTATGAATGGTGTGATAGAAAAAGATCTGCATGTAGAAGCAATGGGGTGAACGAGACTTGAGCTGTGAGCGCTCGATAAGACTGGAAAACCTCTATTCAGACCATTTACCACGAACGCAGCATCACTGCAAACTCAGCGTCTGAAAGCCAGATAAAGAACTTTTTTTCTCTTCTCTTTCCTGCTATTGTGAAATGATCTGAAGAGAATGCTCGCAGATTAGTGCCAAGTGACCCGCCATTGTTAGTGCAGCAGCGTAGCACCGAGCAGGATTTGTCACAGGGGAGTCATTCAATCTGCACGACTTAACCTTGAGTGATTCCTGTACTTTCATTCCTTCACCTTTCACCCCGGCTCCATTGTCAGGGTGAGGAAGTGGGACGACCCTTCCAACTACCAGAACCAGCATGCACGCAACCAACAGAGTCATGCATGTGCACCGTGAATTCCCCAGCAGCTCTCACAGACAGATGTATGTGTATGCAAATCACTCTGGAAATGAAGTCGTAAGTGCGAGCGTCACGTCTCGAGGAAAAGAAGTATTTACTTTGTCCCCATCGGTGATTAAAATCTCAAAATGCGGAAGAGAAAGTGATAAGAGTTTCCTGCGTTCCCCTGAAGTGAATCAATTCCCAGGCTCGCAGAGAGGGAGGTGGAGTAGGTGAGTGATATATTGAGACAGTCTGGCCTCAGGCGGGGAAGATGACACCCTGAGAGAGATGCCTGTCTACAATCCCATGGCAAGCAGAGAGAGAGAGAGAGAGAGAGAGAGGGACCATGTGTGAACATGTGTTTGGGGAGTTATTGTGTGAGTTGATATCATGCCACTTGTTTTTCTCTACCTATTTCTTCAGTCCAGTCAGCTGTTGACCTTTGACCTCAGCAGGTTTTAAACACAGATGTGTAAATGCTGCTGCCACATTGCACCGGACAGGACTGCTCAGTAAACAACTGTATGTCAGCTCTGTATGTCAGATGTGTTTTATATATAAAACTCACAAGCATAAAAAAAGATTGGCGAGAGGGGCATCTTCATTACCCAGAGTGCAGTACTGTGGGGAAACACCAGGGGGCAGCAACTTCGTGACTGCGCAGTCAGCGTAAAAAAAAAAAAAACCACTGCAAACATTGAATTTTTGTTTACTCTGCATTTTTACAGAAGAGCAACGCCCAGGCCACATTTCTGACGTCACGAAGTTCTGAGTGTGTAGTTGTGATACTTTATGGTTATTGCCAAAAAATGCAATAGGATCAAAAAATCCATTTCATTTTGTAACTTACAAAATTCCTTTTGTTTCGCACAAAAACCTTCCGAACCTTGTGTCCCTGTGTGGAACATGTGCACAGTTGAGCTACTGAAACTTTTATACATGGTGACTCAAAACGTGAAGTTTGGAAACAATTGGAAACAGGAAAGCATGAGGAGAACTGCTGCTGCTGCTGCTTCTCTGGGAATGAGAGCTGTTTCCCTCTGAAGCAAAGGGCTGGAATTATACCCTGAAGACATAAAATGGCTTAGAAGGATGGATCACACTCCGTCCACCTTCCTCCGCGTTCCACTCCTCTTTTCTCTCCCTCAAGGCTTCTCCTCCCAGCGTTCCACTCGCTAAAGTCATGGAATCTCCCTAAATTCCCGTCTGAGTTTTACAGCTGCTCATTGTCTCCTCTATAAAACAGTCTGATGGTGAAACTGCTGCTGCAGCACAAAGCACACACACTCTGTCACCAATGACTGGGCCTGACAGTGGGGGGGTATTTCCCTGACAGGAAACTACACAATGTGTGAATGTGAGAGCACAGAAATGTTTTTTCATATCTATCAACTTGTAGACCTGTAGACTTTCTTTTAAATGTTATGTTTAAAATCAAATCAGTACCAGGTATTCATTTAGGGTCATCATGAAATTTACATGTATGTGTTAGGAAAGGATGAATTAAAATAGCGTATATAATATTTTATATAGAGATTTGATAATATAATATGAAAGCAGAATATCCCGAACACAGGGGACGCCATCTTGTGCTGGTGACATCATTCGGAGCCAGATCCTGCGTAGTGGATTATTTAAAACCAAACTTATAAGAAAAATTAACAGATGCACATAAACCAACATGTTTGTCATTTTCTTTTAAGTTTGGCCCATATACAGTATATATATAAAAGATTGGATGTTGCAATGCTGCAGCCAGCCACCAGGGGGTGATCCAGATCTTTCAAGAGGCTTCACTTTAGTGAGCTGTCTTCATATAGAGTCACTGAGTTAAAGTAGCAATGAAATAATCCCTGCATATACTTTTAACTGGATGAATGGATATAGCAGCAGAAATATCTCACTATATGAAATATAAAATATAAAAACTCAAAAACACAATATAAAGAATGAAAATATAAAAAAATACACATATTATATGTATATATAGAGTGAAATGTACAATACATAGACTATAGATATACACTTAAAGACATCAAATGTAAAAGTATGTTACAGCATTTGTCATGCAGACAAATGGGAACTATATGTATTATTAGTATTTCATGACTATGTTTTATTATTGCATCTCTAAAAAATACAACATTTACATCTGAACTATTAAAAATAGCAAAAACTAAAAATAATCACGTAGTATTACGGTTTTGAAGTAAACCGTACTTGAGTACTGCTGTTATCAAACCACTAGAGGACGCTGCTGTATTGATTTTCGATGCTGCTGCGTTTAGTGACCCAGGAAATCACTAACCCCTCAGGTGAGAGCAGAACATGAAAAGTGTGTCTGATCATAAAAACTGAGTGAAGCTGATGCACCTCTGAGCGGGTTTGTTCTCTACACAGTAATTATGTATTGAGCAGCTGCGTCATTAAAACCACAGTGTCTTCCCTTCTTGTGTATAAATATATGTATTTTATATGTAGGTGTGTTTGAAAGAGGCCTGAGGTTAGATACCACTAAAGATTTGTGATTGGAAGAAAATCAATTAGCAACCCACAAGTATGTTTATGTATTTATACATAAATCTTTAAATGTGAATCAGCTAAAGGTGACACATGAGAACTGTGGTTGGGTTAAACAATGAATTTTAATAAAATGTCCAGGACACAATCATTAATTTCTATTATTGACATCTTTTAATAAGTTTTATCATTTTAATTCTTTGTATAAATTAAAGTTTTGCCAGCAATCTAACTAGTTTCTCGCCACAACAATAAAAAATCAACCACTGCCAACATGAACCTTTTGATTTGGGGATTTTATCGTAACTTTATAAAAAGTATAAAATCATTTCCAACCCCTGTGACACAAACTAAATGTATGAATGAACCAGCTGAATGTTTTATGGAAAGCTTGTGACTGTGGTGTGGACGTACATGACAGCCCTGAGCTCAGATCAGATATTTTAGCACAAAGAACCAACGTAAAATCCCTTAAGCAAATCTATAAGTCTCAAATAAATCAGAAATGCACCCATTACTCATTTACACAAACACACTCACAAGTTGTTCTGCAGCCAGTGGAGGTAACCCTTGACTGCCCTCCTCCCCACATCAAACTCTACTGGCCAGACTATAAAGCTGAAACATCCGTGGAAGCCGTCCTCATAGTGGTCATTGGTTACTGTGACCCCTGCGTCCTGCAGGCGCCGAGTGTACATGAGCCCATCGTCCCTCAACACGTCATGTTCGCACGTTAGGATGTACGTCCGGGGGCATTTGGCCAAAACCTCTGGTCCTGCCAGCAGCGGCGACGCCCGCACATCCAGCAGCCCCGGCACCTCCTTCAGAAGCCCCGGTGAACCTTTACTGACAACGAGAGGCCTGTGGCTCCTCTTGTATTTCAAGGGCAAGAGCACAGTCCAGTCTGATCGCGCCCTCACCTCTGGGCTGACAGCCGAGTGGCGTGAGGAGCTGTGGTTGTTCACGAGCAACTGGGGCTGCAGGGAGAGGTCAGCGCCGAGGTACCGCAGCCAAAAATGAACCATGAGGGGGCGGTAGAGGACGGGTATGTCCTGGTTCTGCACATAGGAAGGTGTGTTGAAGTCCAGGGCTTGGAGCGCCGGGTAGATTAAAGCCTGGATGCTGAACTTCACACTCACAGTGTCGTCAATGGAAATCTGGAGAAGATACAGAAACACATAATTCCCTGCATTGTATTTACATTGTGATTTCTACAGACGACCGCTCCAGTTTACCTCCTGAGCGACTGCAGCAGCCAGGTTTCCTCCGGTACTGGCCCCTGACACGGCCACTCGCTCGGGGTCAATCGCATACTTGGCCAGAACCTCTGGGGACAGGAAGTGTTTGGCAGCAGCGAGGCAGTCGAAATATGGAACGGGAAAGTGCACCTCCGGATAAAGACGATACCTAAAAGACAATGGTTGCACATGTTTCAGTTCAAGAGCATGCAATTATATCCACACTCTGTAGTTAGAGGGGAACTCCAGTCACAACAGCATAGCACCAAACCTGTCATAACACTTCCATAATATCTCATGTGGGCCTGAAGAAAACTTTCTTAAGTCTAATGTAGATTAGCATTAGCAGTTGGTCTCATTCCTTTATGAGCAGAGCAAACGTTGAGAGAGTTGATCGGTGTTGCAGGAGACAAACTTACTCAACACAGACCACAACAGTGTTGAGCTCGTCCGACACCATGTGGCTGAGGGCATCGCTTGAACGTCTCTCTGAGGAGGTGAGAGGGAGAAAACAAAGGAAGTGGTGTGGAAAAGCCAAATGAACAAAAGTGATACGCTGTATTCACAAACTACACTTGATTTTGAATGTGGACATGAAAATACAATATTTCAAACAGTTTTCAAACAATTAACCTCCTTAGCAGAAAACAGAGTTAATAAAAAAGCTCTTAAAACTAGACTTTTTTTAAACAAAAAACTGAGCAAATAGCACGAGAATGCAGGGAATTGATTAAGAAAATATTAGCATATTGTATTACCGACACTGTTGAAACTATCTGCACCTGTAGTGCAAACAAGGTTGCACATTCGTGGTAAAAACAAAAGCCTGGTCTTTCTGTATACCCTCGTTATTCTACATTAAGACAACACTGATGTCCGTACTCACCTGTGCTGCCAAGGGCCCAGTCTCCTCCATGGAAATACATCAGCCCTCTCCTCAGGTGACCCTCCCCTCCAGCCGGGGGCTCGTATACTCTGACCGGGATGCCTGCGAAAGTGATGTCGCTGACCTTCACTCCGGGCACGACACCGCCGCCAGACTCGGAGCTGTCCCCCACCTTGGACGTGCCATGGAAGCTCTCCGAGGGCCACCTGAGAGACTTGAAATAAGAGTCGCAGCCCAGCCAATCCCTCAGAGACGCCTGAGGACAGAGACAGGAGGAGACGTAATGTTACTAATTTGAATTAGTGAACCCATAACATATCTCCCGACTGGCCCTCGAAGGATGTTATAAAATTGAAATGGACCTTGATAGCTCTCGGTGCGCGACAGGGCCTGTAAAAACTTTATGGATTTTTTAATGAACCTCCTGCTATGTTATAGTATTAATAATTTAGCATGGCTGAATACTTCACGATTATTATTTACATGGACATTTACACTGCCAACATTTTAAATGTAATATTTAACCTGTAGTCAGAATCAATCCATTAGTCCAGACTCTGATCGTTGCTGCAGCTGCACCGCGCTGCATTCACGTGTTTCTGATATTTACAACCATGCATTCACCAGAGTTGACTCCATATTTACCATGAAATCATTTCTCTCTTACCAGATGCATCGATGTCCTGAAGGCAGCAGCCACCAGCATCAGCCTCCACGGCTCCTGGATGGAGTCGGGCAGCGGGATGTAAACGTAATAAGCGAGAGTCACCGTGAGAGTCAGTGTGAGAACAACCGGCCGCAGCCTCATCTTGAGCCGGAGGAGAGAGCAGCACATCTGTCTGCAGCTGGAGCCGCTGATTGGTCCCTGCAGGTCTGAGGAGGACTGGATGGACCAATCAGAATCCAGATAAGATCCCCGATCAAACACTTCCCTTACACATCTTCAAAATAAAACGCATTAGTAGTAGTAGTAGTAGTGGTAGTAGTATTATTATACACAGTATGTTTATATGTTTTAATTAACTTTCTTCTGCCAAAGCTTCTGAAATGTTTTCATCATTTATCTATTTTAGGAAATTTATTGCGAATAAATAAATGTGGAAAAAGTAAATATGGTTATTTCAATTTACATACAATATGTAAATAATATATATTTTTGTAATTATGTTTTCTTCTTCAGTCCAAAGCCTAAGGATACGTTTTTACTTCAGAAATGTTTACAAGATTCATGCTTTTATTTTTAAAGTGTAGTATAGTTGTTTTTTTGTGTGACAGCTGTTGGTGGGTACAAAGTTGTAATACACACGTGTGACCATGATGGGGCAGTGTAGAGCTGTATGATCTATATACAGCTGTTAGATTTTGTGAAAAGATTAAAACCTCTTCAAGTCCTTTTTTAAAAGCTCTGAACAGGAGAGTAAATTATTGAGCATGAAGTAAGTGTTAAACCAAGAGAACTATTTTCACTCACTATTGATCACTTTGTAAGTGAAGACAGTCGATGCTGGACTGAAGTCCCACTAAAAGGCTTCAGTGATGCGTGTTACTGAGATCAGACTCATCTCTCTTCTCAAGGTATTGAACCGTCTACATCAGGGTCAATCTTTCTCCTCTGTTTTTAGATAGAAGATTTATTTTTCTTTCGGGGCTGACGGGTCCAATGAAGTCAGCAGTGTGGAATATTTACACTAGGCCCAGAGTATAGAAAATAATTAAACCTGAGTTCAAAGATAGAAAAGTGAGTCACTGCGAAGAAGATCAAATCCTTTGAGCCGAGGACGCTGTGTTAACACGGTTTACATCTCAGACCACAAAGGCTGCAGTGACAGGTTTTAAAGATTGGTCTGAATCCAGGTCACAGAAAAGCAAAGACCAGCACATGACAGTCGACAGCGTCACATCCTGGAGTGTAGACAGGGAAGAGAGTCTCAGTATCGCTGTCTCACTCTCTCTGGGATATTCATCGCCCTGTTTCTTCCCACGATTCCACTTTTAAATGGCCACTGTCTGTCCCAGGCGGCCGAGTGCGAGAATGTAAACAATCATCAGAGCCGATGAGGATCTGACCTCTGCACTGTGCTGCTTTTCCAAAACATAGCAGGCCGAACCACTAGACCATGTCAGATTAGCCTCATGGAAGAGTGGGGTTCTCAGGAGGACACATGGCTGCAGAAAGTCACAGCGATGCAAAATCAAAACAATGAATTGTTCACATGTGGTTGTATTGGAAATTGAAAAGCATGTACCTCTGTGTTGTTGTCGAGTTGCCCAGCTAAAGTTGTGTGGCACCATGACCTCACACTTAAACTCCACATGGCCGTCAAGACTTAAATTAGCTTCTTAACTCTCTTGCCAAGAGTAAGATGAGAAGATTGATGCCACTGTCATTGCTGCGCATTCAACACAACAGTATCAATCTCCTCATGCAACTCTTGGAAAGTTGTGATGAGGACATTTTCTGAAATGTAATGTCATTTAGTGCACTCTTGTGTTATCTGTTTTGATGAGGTTGAACCTTTTCTGATATTTTCTTCTCACGTTTTCTCCCATAAGCATCATCAAAGCTTAGATCTTATCACATGGGCAGTGGGTGCATTATGGAAATATATCCTAATACACAGATTTATGCTTTAGATAATCCCACTCATGATATAACCTTGTAGAAGAGAGATAAGAAAAAAGACAAGAAATTAATAAAATAATCCTTTATTAGTCCCACTAGAGAAATGTGCAATAATAATACTGACGTGTAAGAAAATATAAAAAAACTAAAAAAATATGAATGGAATAAAAACTAAGATACACACAATGATGCATATTTTGGTCGAACTGACTCTATGGCTGAACAGCCTCCTGCTGCAGAACTAGTTTGGACAAGTGCCACTCGATGCTTTTAAAGTTTTTTGCAGTCATCTTCGACAGGGGTCAATGTTTTACTCTGAAAAGATCACTTTGATTCATGCACAGATGCCATACATGCTTTCTAAAAATCCTAGGGAAGCTTAAATGTGACGTTAATATGATATATGTGTTTTCGTGTGTGTGTGTGTGTGTGTGTGTGTGTGTACATGTGGTGTAAAGATTGTGCATTAAAATTCCATCTTCCTGCCTCCTCCCTCCCTCCCTCCCTCCTGTGAGTGTGTTCGTCTGGCGTCTCCCCCCAGTCTGTGGTATGGAGGGCAGAGAGAGGGCCCCTCTCTTGTGTCGCTGACTGGAATTACACTTATGGTCATTTAACATGACTAAACGCACGAGGCAGAAGTGGAGGTTTTCTATTTCAGACGGGCCTGTTCTTGTTGATCAGCATCTTTCTTGGCACAGAACTTTTAATGAGCAGATCATTGGGTCGAGTGTGGTAAGAAATCAATGAACAAACCACAAATAACAATAAACACTTTACGAATAGAAAAATAAATCCCACCTTGAAGTCGCGTCTCTGCATCTGGTTTTCTGATTTTAAAGGGCGCGCAGTTAAAACTGAATTAACCAGGACTTGGATAAAAATAGATTTTACAACATCTTGCTGAGTAGAAATGACAACATACAGACTAATTGCCACAGATGAAAAGACCAAACGTGCACACAGTAGTTTTACCACTTGTGTCTGTTACCGAGCACAGTTTGGCCAATTAGCTCAAGCATGACATTTTCGTCTTCACTCCATTTTAATCTTTTGAATTGGTTTCAGAAGAGATGAAAACTCCTTTTGCACAATTAATGACATCACGTTGATGCAGTCACTGTGCATGTAAAATCAGGAATGTTCTCCTTGAATATGTCAGCGAGGACGAGACCCTTCAACTGGGCAGCTGACAGGGGGGGGGGCTCGACGAGCTCGAGAGCTCGGGGATGAAAAGAGGAGAAAATGAGAAGAGAGGTGAACTTTCATCAGCTGTGCTCAGGTTAAATGTTTTCATTTATTCTTTGAAATGTCCATCACACTCTGAACTGATGTTCTGACTTATTCAACCTCTTTTCAGGTTGTTCCTTTTGGAGAATCACGGAGAACATGGAGAGATCATTTTAACGTCTGCGACTGGAGCTCTGAAGTTTGGCACGATGGGGTCAGATGTGTGGCTCCTTCCCCAGTTGAAACCACAAGAGGATAAAGGGACATTTCAACTTCAATCCAACTGACATGAATTTGAGTCGACCTCAGTTTAGATCCAAATAAAAAAAACGGATCTGGTTGATTTAAATATGGTTTCCTTAGCGGACTGTTGAGCTTTGGTGGAGGTATGACTGACTGGAGTGTTTTTAAACTCTTCTGTTGTCACTTTTACTCTAATAAATCTCTCCACCGCTGCTGGGAAAAGGCTCAAACTTCAGAAACTTGCATTTTCCTTTGCATTAGAATGCAGTGATGTTCACAAAGTCAGGACAACGGAGAGAATCTGTGAGGAAACACATATTTATCCAGGTTTGATCAGATCTAATTCAAAATGTTGATTGTAACCAGTTCATGTTTTATAATCAAATGCTTGACATGTTAAAAATTTTTTAATTGTTCTTTTAAACAAACTTCACAGAGGGACACAGTGTTCAGTGTGACAGGACTCACACACACACACACACACACACACACACACACAAACACACACACACACACACACACACACACACACACNACACACACACACACACACACACACACACACACACACACACACACACACACACACAGGGTGACAGTGACAATAATGTATTGTGGTATTCAGGAATGTCATGGACAGCGGGTCAGCTCGTATCCTTCAGCTCAAACTCAGACTCTATTTCTGAAATGACAAACAACCTGTTGTTATTTGGTTTTCTGCAAAGCAAGGTGTCACATCTGAGAGAACAGGAACACGCCGGCTCAGATTTGTACGTTTTGAGTGTTGTGCTTTTGTTGATGTGAGACGTTCAAGTACGCAACGCTCTCATTTGGTTGAAGGGTATTTGCTCTGCTGCCGATGAAATTGAATCATCTTATTCTTCATTTTTAATTATTAATCTTTATTACGACACTTACTTCTCTGCTACCACACAACAGACTTTGTCCTCTATAGTCTCGACAGCATTACGGTGTAATGTTGCTAATTTGAACATGGTTTGTTTCGTCTGACAGTTCATGGGAATGTGAGTATTCTGAGATGGACTGTGAACTTAACTCCTGATTGTTCCGCTCCATCTGAATCATACACACAAATGATTCAACCCAAGTGGCCCCAGGTTGTCGCAATTGCTGTTGCACCATGGGCAAAAGCTTCGTTCCCATGTCGGCGAGGAAAAGAGGATGTGAAACAGAGTGATAATGACAATCTCTTGGCCTGAATCCTCACATGATGCTGAGCTATAAACACATTTGTAACTTGGCTTTCATTTCCTTTATTGAGAAGTCGCACTCCCAAAGAAAAAGCCAGTGACGTGCACAGATTCCAGGAAAGTACCGTCATCTGCAGGTTCACACTGTTTTCTTATTGAAATGTATTGACAACCATTGCATGGATTGCTATGAAATTTGGCAAAGAGCTTAGCTTAAAGCTCAAAGCACTGCTCTGATTAAAGATAATTCAATTCAATTCTTAATTAAAATGCTTATAATCAACAAGACGTATTATATATTTTGTTGACTTGTGTTTTTCTGTTATCCAAAAATGTTCCAACAATATTCAAACCCAGAGAAATCCCCAATTCTACTGTGTTTTAACGGGACGTTTTGGTTTTGGCCTTTTAATTGTGTCATATCTGTTTTGCTTGTGGCTTTGTCCGTCTGTGCTATAAACTTTCACAGGAGAACCAGGTGACCCAAGATGCATATGAGACAAG